ATGGAGGATGGAACAGAGCAGACAAATTCTGCAGTTGGTGCTGGCATTCGATTCAAGGTGTTTTGCATCTTGCTATTGTTTTTGCATTTGTTCCTTTTGCTTTTTTGTATGATTTTGTGATTCATTGTGATACAATTATTTTTAGCAGTGATGTTTGTGTTTAGAATCTGCCATTTAGTTTTGTAAGTATTTATACAAAATCACATAAGTATATATCCATAATTGTATAACAACAATTCCAGAATTTCAAAACAATAATTCCATAATTTCATAACTATATTTCCAGAATTGCATATCTATATATTCAGAATTCGTGGGTACTCTGTTTTGGCAGTTTGTTGCGTCTGTGTATCCAGAATAGTATAACTATATTTCCATAATAACATACCTATATATCCAGAATTTGTGGGTACTCTGTTTTTGCTGTTTGATGAACTGTTTGAAATAATGTTCACCATGTCTATATAATGTAGTTAGTGAAGGCATTATGGATGGTTCAGTGAGTTCAGATCAAGCAGATGTAGACATTGATGGATCTTCATCAATTCCAGGTTTATTCATAGTGGTTTACCTTTTAATTAGCAAATTCTAGTTAGGAATTATATTTTAATGGAAATGGTTATTATTGTGTTATATTTGCAGTTGATCAAGATTTGGTTGGTTTGGTAGTAAGTAATGTTGATGAGGCTTTTGAGTTGTATAACAATTATGCATATAGACTTGGTTTTAGTGTGAGGAAGGGTCATCAACGCTACAAGGGATCTACTAACACAATTCAAATGAAGAACTTTTGTTGTTCTAAGGCTGCTTATAAGGCAAACAGTGGGGTTAAGGCTTATTCCAAAATTGACACAAGGACAGGGTGTGAAGCATTTGTTCAGTTTGACGTGGGTGATGATGGGTTGTGGACAGTTACAAAACACGAGAAAGTGCACAATCACGAGTTATGTGTGTTCAACAAGAGTCATCTACTTCGTTCACATAGGAGTGTCGGAGATAATCAGCTCTTATATTTACAAGGTTTGAAGGACAGTGGAGTTGCACTGGCGGATGGTATTAGGTTCCTAAAACACCAATCAGGGGGTCCCCATTAGTTGGTTTCACCAATAGAGATGCTTATAATTCAATGGCTGCTGATACAGTCAAGCGATTGGATGGAACGGATTCTAACTCTTTAATTGAAATTTTTAGGAGGAGGTAGTCTACCGAGTCTGATTTTTTCTTTGATTTTGAACTTGATTTGGATGCAAGATTGTGCAGTTTTTTTTTGGAGGGATGGTCAAATGAGACGAGATTATAAGGTGTTTGGGGATTTGTTAGTGCATGATACGACATATCGCACAAACAAATATGATATGATTTGTGGCCCTTTCGTAGGGATGAATCACCATTGCATGAATGTAATGTTTGGATGCGGGTTTTTGATGAACGAGAGGATAGAATCGTTTGTGTGGTTGTTTAAAGCGTTTTTAAGATCTATGGGTGGCAAGTGTCCACAGTCTATTATGACAGATCAATGTGCAGCTATGGCTGCTGCTATATCTAAAGTGTTTCCAACATCACGTCACCGTCTTTGCATATGGCATATTGGTGAGAATTCAAAGAAGCATATCAAGACGTTAAGGAATAATAAGGATTTCTTGGATATGTTTAACTACGTGTTGAAATACACAGAGACCGAAGCTGAATTTCAATTTTATTGGACAAGGTATGTTAGTAATTAATCGTTTTTATTGAATTATAGTGCATATGTATAGTATTATTGGATTATATTTCATATGTATATAGTATTAGGCTTTCTGATCATTTAGTATATTTATTACAGATGTATATGAATTATGGATGTATAGTTTAACAATTATGGATGTATAGTATAGTAATTATGGACGTATAGCAGTTGAACTGACTGGTGGTCACTGGAAATGTAGTTTATGGATTATGGATGTATAGTGTATCAATTATGGATATATAGTATTTCAATAATGCATATATAGCAGGTGAACTGACTGGTGGTGCCTGGAAATGTAGTATATGGATTATGGATAGTCTATCAATTATGGATATATAGTATTCCAATTATGTATATATAGCAGTAGAAATTCTGAGCATGTGTTAGAGATGTGGTGATGTTGTTTGTTATTCTGCTTCATAAACATTAGTCATTTTGTCTTACCATTTTCAGGTTGGTGACTGACTATGAATGTCACAAGAATACTTGGTTAGAAAAGCTATATTACTGTAGGGAGAAGTGGTGTCCAGCATTTAACAATGACTATTTTTCTGGGGGCATTTTGTCGTCACAAAGGAGTGAAACTACAAATCATTCGATATATAGAAGGTTGTCTAAGACAGCTGGTATTTGTGATTTCTATTCATCGTTTGTAAGCGTAATTTGTGAATGGAGAAGTAAAGAGAATGGTGAAGACTTTTGTTGTGCTCAAGGGGTACCCGCTATGATGATGGAGCACGTGAAACTTCTTTCACATGCTAGAGAGGTATACACGATTGAGATATATTTTTTGTTTGAGGAACAATTTATGAAAGGCAGTGCTTGTCATCAAGAAATGGTGTTGAATGATGGCCATCAACAGAAGTATCACGTGTGGCGGCCAGATATAGACATTATAAGGCATGAGGTTAGTTTTAACCCAGCCAACTTGGACATTTCTTGTAGTTGCAAGTTGATTTCTGAGTTGGGAATTCTATGTTGTCATTGTCTACGCATTCTTCATGTACATTGTGTTTCTAGTATCCCTGACAAATATATCCTTAAAAGATGGACTAAAAAGGTTATTGATGGTAGGAATGTCAACATTGATTCTATGGTTTATAATGTTGGTGTCCCTCCATCAATTTGGGTGTTCGATATTAGTAGGAAATTTCAAAGATTAGTTGTTTCTAGTCAAGATAATAGTGTAGCTAGGAAACTGTGTGACGAAGCTGTTGATGATGTAAAGAAAAAGATTGAAGCCGAGATTGGGTATGTGCATATTGAAGAATGTGGTGTTTCATCTTCAAGTGGTGGTGTACAGAATCCTTCAAGCCGGAGATTGAAAGGTGAGCGTAATAAAAGGAGGAGTGGTGTTATTGAAAAGAAGTACAGTCTTGCAAGGGGGAGAATGAGTGCTGCAAATAAAGTTGCATTGAGTACAAAGGGTGCTGTTCAGTCTTTGGTGTTGGAAAACATATCCAAGCTTGCTGGGGATGCATACCTCGTACATCCAAGTTCTTCGAGTTCAGATTTTGTTCAGTTTAGTAAGAGTTTAGATGACAATGTAGGTGTAGATTGTGAAATACAAGTTGTTATCATTGATTTTATGCAATTCTGGATTTATAGTTTTGTAATTCTGGATATGTAGTTTTGCAATTATGGATTTACAGTTATGCAATTATGGAACTATAGTTATACAATTATGGGTGTATAGTTATGCAATTATGGATGTGTAGGTATGCAATTATGGAATTATAGTCATGCAATTATGAAATTATAGTCATGCATTTATGCATGTGTAGTTTCCATAGTGATGGAATTTGTAGTTACGAAATTATAGGTGTATAGTTATGCAATTATAGATGTGTAGTTTTGCAATTATGGTATTATAGTTATGCAATTATGGATGTGTAGTTTTACAATTATGAAATTATGGATGTGTAATTTTGCAATTATGGAATTATAATTCCATAATTGCACAACTACACATTCAGAATTGCATGACTACACATCCTTATTTGCATAACTATAATTCCATAATTCTAAAACTACACATCCAGAATTATATAACTATAATTCCATAATTGCATAATTATAATTCCATAACTGTAAAACTATAATTCCATAACTGGAAAAAACACAATTTTAGAATTGAAAGAATACACATCCATAACTGCAAAAGTACACATCCAGAATTGCATAACTACACATCCATAATTGCATAACTATAATTCCATAATTGCAAAACTACAATTCCATAACTACCAAACCACACATCCATAAGTGCATAACCACACATCCAGAATTGCATAATTATAATTACATAATTGCATAACTATAATTCCATAATTAAGAACAGTTTATGTATAATGGGATCTTACCAGGATGAATACCATTGGACCTCCAAAGGATCTTCCAGGATTGTCTTTGTAAATCTCATATGAATCAATGAAAGACATGTATGTGTATCGGCACCAATTCAGTCTTGAAATTGTCCGGATGTTGAGCAATGACTTAAGAACTCGGTAGTTGGCATATCTTCCAGTGTTTCCTCGGAGCAGAGAGGAAAAGCGAACACCGCAATGTCTCTTTTGAAGGCATCACCATGGTCACCTCTTCTGATTATCTCATCAGGCATCTTGGTTGTTATGGGTGACCCTGCCTTGACATTCCACCTCTTCCTCCAATCAGTTAGGAGCTTATTATATGCAGCTGTAGAATTTTCCTCAGATTTTGTCCCCTCCTTAACATCCCTCTTTCCCCGGGGGATCCCCAACGTGTATTCAACATCCTCTTCACTGACATGCAGAATATCACCATCCAATATAAAGTCTGACTTGAAAACATCAAATCTTTTCAGAAGATACTCAACGAGTTGTGAATAATTGCTTGAGAATTGCAGATGTAGCAGCGCTCCAAAACCCATATCAACAACAGCATCCTTCTGATCCTGTGATAGGCGTTGGATAAGTTCAAACATTTGTTTGGGACCCATCCGCGTGCTGAAGTAATCCGCGTTAGGGTTATGTACTTGCTCTCGTTTTGCTGGTTGTGCCCTCTTTCTTTTGAGAGCTTCTGGTTGTTGCCTTGTGGAAGGCTCTGCAGAATCTTCTTGTGAAGGGGTGAGCTGAGCAGCCTGCGAGCTCAATACCGCCCTGGTTTTTCTCCTCTTTACTGACTTGACGAATTGCCCAAGTGTAGCATCATCTCTCACATTTGAGTCTTCCATTTCTGCAAATAAAAATCATACAAAGTTTTGTTAAAAAGTCTTGAATGCAGTTTGGTGCACAGAGTAAGGTTCACAGAGTACTATATCCAAATTTGTATAAATATAATTCCATAAACACACAGATATACTTCCAGAATTGTATAACTACATATCCATAAACTCATAACTATACCCACAAGGCAAATCATGCTAAAAAGAATTGAATGCAGTTTGGTGAACAGAGTAAGGTGTACAGAGTAATATATCCCAATTTGTATAAATACAATTCCATAAACACACAACTATACTTCCAGAATTGTATAACTACATATCCATAAACTCATAAATATACCCACAAGGCAAATTATGCTAAAAAGACTTGAATGCAGTTTGGTGCACAGAGTAAGGTTCACAGAGTACTACATCCAAAACTGTATAAATACAATTCCATAAACACACAACTATACTTCCATAATTTTACAACTACATATCCATAAACTCACAAATATACTCATAAACTCATAATCATAATCATACACGTTCATAATCATATAACTATACATTCATACAATTTTTAAACAGTGCAAAATCCTAGTTTAAAATTACATAAACATATACTGAAAATCAATGCTTATTTTGTATAAATGCATCATGTAACAACGTAAAATGCATAATACCTATTCTATGAAGAAGTTGAGCTCTGCTTTAGAGAGGAAGTGCTGATGAATGTGTGATGATCGGAGGCCGGCGACAATGGTGATGATGAATGTGTGCGAAACCACGAAAATGTTGAAGAAAAGCTAAGGAAATGGAAATGATCGAAGCTTTTGGGGAGGGAATCGTGTGGGAGAAGAAAATGCTCTGGTGGAGGGAAGTGAAATGGGAGAGGAAACGATCCAATAAGCTTTTGTATTTAAAAAAAATAAAAAATTTGATTGGTTGAGTGAAACGGTGCCACTAACGGCACCATTACTCCAAAACGACGTCGTGTGCACCAAGAATGGTACATACGGATGCACAACATAACGATTGCTAAACCAAGGCAATTTATATCGTGCAGCAGGACGCGCATTGCATTGTGCGCCCTGATGCAAAACGACGTCGTTTTAGATTTTTTTTTTTTTTTAAAAAAAATTCGCTATCCTGTGTTGGCGGATAATTTTCTTTAAAAAAAAAATCTCATGTTCAAAAATGTACATAAATTTATACTAGAATACACATAATTATATACATGAATGTACATTATTGTATAACAAAATACATATACTTTTTAAAAAAAAAAATGATACACATAATCTAACCTAATACATAATATACATAAACTTTTAACATAATACACATAAACTCTTAACATAATATACATAAATTTCTTGTTTCGGATGTACATAATTGTATAAAAAAATGTACATAATTGTATAAAAAATGTACATAATTGTATAAACAAATACACATAATTGTATAAACAAATACACATAACCACGTCAACTTCCTACATAACTTACCAAAACGACGTCGTTTTGGGAGGCGCGGGGCGCACAGTGCTATGTACGCCGTGGTGTAGGGTATAACGATGGACTAAACCAATTTTATACTCCGTAGTATATATTACTCCTTCTGTCGCATACTCCCATTTTATGTGTTTAGTTCGATTAACGAGGTTTGGCTGCTGTTATTTTTAATTCATTTTTTCATAATATTAAGTTTAATATTAGTATACAAAACTTATATATTTAGCAATTACACAAAAGGTACTATTAATTAAACACAAAAAATAATTTTTAAAAATAATTAAAAAAATAAAAAATAAACAAAGAAAAAAGAATTAGTTTGACTAATAAATAGTAAGTAAGAGGCGCATCTGAGCTTCTCTATTCTGCACCGCCCTCTTTCCAGTACAAAAAAAAATAATAATAATAAGTAAGACAAATAAAATTATTACGTATATTGAATTACTGTATTAACATATAATAATATGTATTAATTATTTTTATTGGCCACGTAATATTAATATGTTTTATTTTTTTGTCAGTTTTTGTTTTTTTCCTTTTTCTTTTCACCCGTTTTTCTCTACATCCCCTCTTTCTTATTAAATAATTTTAAATAAATAAAAAATGGTTCTCATCTCCCAGGTTGCCAGAGACGAAAGGACCACTTCGGCTCCCGCATAGAGACGGAGCCAGTTTTATTTTACAAATTTTGTTATTTAAAATTATTTAATAAAATAAAAATTTATTATTTTAATATTATATCCTTTACATCAGCAAATTAACAAGTAAAATAAATTACTTTGGATTCAATTGCATCATTTTGTGTTGTTCAGAGACCCAATTACATATTTTTTAAGTTTAATAACTTAATTGCATTTTCCTGTGTAATTCGATAGCATATTTGACGCTTATTCCTACTTTAAATTATTTCATAGTCCCACCTTTTTTTTTTTGAGAATTACAATGCATTTTCTATATGTTTTTTACTTCTATTACCAGACAGTATCACATTGAATGCTAGTGTATTAGTAGGGTTTTTGCTAGTAAGTAGTAACAGTGGCTTCTCTCAACATTTGGGTCTCGCCATGTTTTCAAGCCTTAGCTTGGGCTCTAACGTTTAGCAGTTCATCCTCGTACCGTTGGAATCTTCGTTGCTATCTTCTTTTCAATCCAAGGTATATCTTCCTCCCCTCCATCTTTGTATTTGGCTGCAAACAGGTTGTGCTTTATTTTTATCCCAGCCTAGCTAAAGCTACAGTATTTACGAAAGATTATCGGGTGCATGGTTCTTTCTTTTATTTCTTATTGTTTTTATCTAATTTCCTGCTTCTTGTTGTTCTGCTGGGGAAGAAAATGGTCAAATCTAAGTTCATGATGATTCATAAACCCCTAGCACTCTAGCTCTTTCTTGTCATGATGCAAAAATCTGGTCCACTTTGTGGATTGACTTGCAAATAATAATGAATTTGTAATAATCATTTTCTTTTAAGTTCAATTGGGCTGCCGCATATAGATTAACCGTGGATAGATGTTTAGGAATTTGGGCAGTTTTGGTTATTTGAACCTTAGAATGCTCTGTGTTAACTGAGGTAGTTTCTTAATGAAGTTAATGGTTGTTGTGTTAGAGGTATAGTTGGCACAGCTTGATTTGTGAAGCTAAAATTCATTCATTTTGATTGTTTATTTTAGGTAGACGCCATGGAGGCTACTGCTTGGAATGTTGCAGCAAAAGAATTTTTGTTGGTATGCTTGCTTATTTTTATTTTGGATCTTGAATTTGTGAGGGTCGATTATGACTTGGATAATTGTTTAATTTCGGTTTTGGCTAATTAATTGTAGGGCTCAAACAGACAGAAAATAGCTTTATCAAGGCATTCAGTTAGGCAGAACTTGCTTTGGGGTGTAACTGCAAGGCAAGGTCCTCTCAAGTTTACTAATAAAAATGCCGGAGTACGATCAAATCTTTCTGCAAAGGTCAAAGCAGTAGTTTCTGGGAATGTAAACACATTGCTAGGTGAGGAGGCAAGCAAGGTTCAACAGCCTGCAGAAAATGTTGTTCATTTTTATCGCGTCCCGTTGCTTCAAGATAGTGCAACTGCAGAACTTCTCAAGTTGGTTCAAACAAAATTCTCACATCAAATAATTGGCTTGAAAACTGAGCAGTGTTTCAATATTGGTTTGAATTCAGATCTTTCAAGTGAGAAGCATGCCGTGCTTAAGTGGGTTTTGGGAGAGACATATGAGCCTGAGAATTTGGGGACTGAAAGTTTTCTACATATTGATAAGACAAAACATTTAGATGCAGTTATTGTGGAAGTTGGTCCACGCTTGTCTTTCACTACAGCTTGGTCTGCCAATGCAGTTTCAGTTTGCCAAGCTTGTGGGTTGACAGAGATTACTAGAATGGAACGTTCGAGGAGATACCTGTTATTTCTTGAGCCTGAAAGTGGTCCATTGCTTGATAGTCAAATCAATGAGTTTGCTGCTATGCTCCATGATCGAATGACTGAGTGTGTTTACCCTGAGAAGCTTACTTCTTTTGAGACAAGTGTCGTTCTAGAGGAGGTTCACTTCATACCAGTCATGGAGAGGGGCCGCAAAGCATTGGAAGAAATAAATGAGAAAATGGGTTTGGCCTTTGATGAACAAGATTTACAATATTACACTAAGCTCTTCAGGGATGACATCAAGCGGAACCCAACAAATGTTGAGTTGTTTGATATTGCACAGTCTAATAGTGAACATAGCAGGCATTGGTTCTTCACTGGGAAACTAGTATTAGATGGTCAGCCTGTAAATAGAACTCTTATGCAAATTGTTAAAAGCACTTTAGCAGCAAATCCAAACAATTCTGTTATTGGATTTAAGGACAACTCCAGTGCTATCAAGGGATTTTTAGTCAAGCATTTGCGGCCTATTCAGCCTGGTTCTTCATGCCCCTTGCAAACTAGCGCTCATGATCTTGATATCTTATTTACGGCTGAAACACACAATTTCCCATGTGCTGTAGCTCCATATCCTGGAGCAGAGACCGGTGCAGGAGGCCGCATCAGGGATACACATGCTACTGGAAGGGGTTCTTTCGTTGTTGCATCTACAGCTGGATATTGTGTTGGCAATCTTAATATTGAAGGGTCATATGCTCCATGGGAAGATCCTTCATTCCAATACCCAGCAAACCTGTCTTCACCATTGCAGATCCTCATTGATTCCAGCAATGGAGCATCTGACTATGGGAATAAATTTGGTGAGCCCTTGATTCAGGGTTATACGAGGACCTTTGGAATGAGACTCCCAAGTGGTGAAAGGAGGGAATGGTTGAAACCAATCATGTTTAGTGGAGGTATTGGGCAAATTGATCACAACCATATATCAAAGGGCGAGCCTGAGATTGGAATGTTAGTTGTTAAGATTGGAGGCCCAGCATATCGCATAGGAATGGGAGGCGGGGCAGCATCAAGCATGGTTAGTGGCCAAAATGATGCTGAGCTTGACTTCAATGCTGTACAGCGTGGAGATGCAGAGATGGCACAGAAGTTGTATCGTGTTGTTCGTGCCTGTGTAGAAATGGGACAGAATAACCCAATCGTCAGCATTCATGATCAGGGTGCCGGTGGAAACTGCAATGTTGTCAAGGAAATCATACATCCTCAGGGTGCTGAGATTGATATAAGGGCAGTTGTAGTTGGTGACCACACTATGTCCGTCCTTGAGATTTGGGGAGCTGAATATCAAGAGCAAGACGCAATATTGGTCAAACCTGAAAGTGGCAGTCTTCTACAGGCAATTTGTAAGAGGGAAAGACTACCGATGGCTGTTATTGGAACAATTAATGGTGAGGGGCGCATTACTTTGGTGGATGGCTTAGCTGTTGAAAGATGCAAATCTGACGGACTTCCTCCTCCTCTACCAGCTGTGGATCTTGAGCTTGAGAAAGTTCTTGGGGATATGCCTCAAAAAACCTTTGAACTTCATCATGTGAATAATGTGCTAGAGCCTCTTGATATTGCTCCTGGGACAACAGTTATGGAAACTTTGAAGAGGGTATTGAGGCTTCCTTCTGTTGGTTCAAAAAGGTTCTTGACCACTAAAGTTGATAGGTGTGTTACTGGTTTAGTGGCACAGCAGCAAACCGTGGGTCCCTTGCAAATAACACTTTCTGATGTTGCTGTTATTGCTCAAACTTACACCGACTTTACTGGAGGTGCTTGTGCAATTGGAGAACAACCGATTAAAGGTCTTTTGGATCCAAAAGCAATGGCAAGACTAGCTGTTGGGGAAGCACTCACAAATCTTGTATGGGCAAAAGTTACATCCCTTTCAGATGTGAAAGCTAGTGGGAATTGGATGTATGCTGCAAAGCTAGATGGGGAAGGAGCTGCCATGTATGATGCTGCCAATGCTCTTTCAGAAGCTATGATTGAACTTGGCATTGCAATTGATGGCGGGAAGGATAGTCTTTCAATGGCTGCCCATGCTTCAGGTGAAGTTGTGAAGGCTCCTGGAAACTTGGTCATCAGTACCTATGTAACTTGTCCTGACATAACAAAAACAGTTACACCAGACTTGAAGCTTGGAGATGATGGTATACTGCTCTACATTGACTTGGCAAAGGGAAAGAAGCGTCTTGGTGGATCTGCTCTTGCTCAGGTTTTTGGTCAAATTGGGGACGAGTGTCCTGATCTTGAAGATGTTTCTTACCTTAAAACAGTTTTCAATGAGGTTCAGAATCTCCTCTCTAGTGATCTTATTTCTGCCGGTCATGATATCAGTGATGGAGGACTTGTTGTTGGCATCCTTGAAATGGCTTTTGCTGGGAATTGTGGTGTTTCATTAAATTTGACGTCAGAAGATAGTAGTGTGTTCCAAACACTTTTTGCAGAAGAGCTTGGCCTTATCCTTGAGGTTAGCAAGGAGAACTTGGAGGTGGTCATGGCAAAGCTTCACAGTGGTGGTGTTACTGCTCAAGTCATTGGACAAGTTACTGCTTCTCCACTGGTAGACTTGAAAATTGATGGTCTTTCTTATTTGAATGACAGAACTTCTCTACTGCGTGACATCTGGGAAGATACCAGCTTTGAACTGGAAAAGTTCCAAAGGTTAGCCTCGTGTGTGGAGCTAGAAAAAGAAGGGTTGAAGAACCGGCATGAACCTACATGGAGTTTATCCTTCAAACCAGATTTCACAAATGAGAAATATATGATCGCCACATTAAAACCTAAGATTGCTGTAATTCGAGAGGAAGGTAGCAACGGAGACAGAGAGATGTCTGCAGCTTTCTACGCTGCAGGATTTGAACCGTGGGATGTTGCAATGTCAGACCTTCTGAATGGACTCGTATCATTGCATGAATTTCGCGGGATTGTGTTTGTTGGAGGTTTTAGTTATGCAGATGTGCTTGATTCTGCAAAAGGTTGGGCAGCTTCAATACGCTTTAATCAACCTCTATTAAATCAATTTCAAGAATTCTATAACCGTCCAGACACTTTTAGTCTTGGGGTTTGCAATGGTTGCCAACTTATGGCTCTCTTAGGTTGGATACCGGGGCCACAGGTTGGAGGTGTTCTTGGTAAAGGAGGAGACCCATCACAGCCAAGGTTCACACACAATGAGTCTGGACGGTTTGAATGTCGCTTTACAAGTGTCGCAATACAAGAATCACCAGCCATAATGTTCAAAGGGATGGAGGGTAGTACTCTAGGTGTCTGGGCAGCGCATGGTGAAGGAAGAGCTTATTTCCCTGACGGTAGTATTTTAAATCAGGTTCTTGATTCGAACTTGGCCCCAGTGAGATATTGTGATGATGACGGTAAACCAACAGAAGTTTATCCTTTCAATCTGAATGGTTCACCCCTCGGTGTGGCTGCAATTTGTTCTCCCAATGGGAGGCACCTTGCTATGATGCCTCACCCTGAGCGCTGCTTCTTGATGTGGCAGTTCCCATGGTATCCAAAGCACTGGGATGTTGATAAGAAAGGGCCCAGTCCTTGGTTGCGTATGTTCCAAAATGCCAGAGAATGGTGCTCATGAGGTAACTCTCTGGTCTCGACTCTCGAGTCTACATTCAACCATTGTTTCAACTTCACTATGATTCAGCACTAAATTTCTGCTGTTTGATTCAAATGTGCAGATCTTTGGTGGACTAAAGAGGCATATTTTTTCTTTTTTTTTTTCCTGTTCCGAAACGCTTAACAAATCAAATCAAAAGAGCGAAGGAAGAGCACAGTTCTAAAGTATGAGATGGAAGAAGTTATGTTGCTTAGTTTTCCCTTTTCGATGTAAATCACATAAATTTTGAATAGAAGTTTATTTTCATACTGATGTAATTCTCAAAATACTTTCTGCTTAAAATACGAGGCATCAAATTTGGATCTTTAAAATATATTTGCTGATACTTACACAGGCTGAACTTTTCTTTTAAGCCTGCAAGTTTGTCTTAGTATTATTCCATACTTGATCTATTATGTACGCTCAATATGGATTTTTATATCCTTCACATATTCTCTAGTGAAGTTCAGAGCTGCAAATGTGATTTTGCTGAATAGAAAATTCCTTTGATGTTATTTGTGACATCCTTTGAGAGTTTTAGTTACATATAGACAGAGGCTCATGAAAAACTCAATTTTCTGCATGGTTGACAATAACTTGGCAGGGTTAGGACACACACCGAGGAAAAGAACATGGTATCTACATTGTGCATGACTCTAACATGTGACTTTCCTTAGTGATAAATGCTGCCACTGTTCATAAGTAGATGTTGCAGATAAATGTTCTGCTCCATTCCGTCGAGGAGATCATAGATGTCTGGATCGTAGGATGGGAGGATAATTTCGTCCTCCAATCTGGTCATCGTTGGGGGATGCTGTATAGTTGTTTGTCTATCGAAGGGCTTCACAGATAAATCTTCCAGGTATGACTGTTCAACGTCTTGATTCATATAATCGTTAATTCTCGTGTTCTTGTACTTGGAAGAGAACTGTATCTCATCTATCGTGTTTTGTTCAGGGATCTCGCAGGCAGGACGAGGCACCTGCTTCTCAAAATTCTCGATCTCTTGCTTGAGGTTTGCCACCTGCAAGGTAAGTAGCTAAAGTATAAATGCTTCTGTTGAATTTGATTTAAAAAAGAAGGGAATTTTGTTTTTTCGAGAAGAATCATGGTCGGGAATTGAAACCTGCTGTTGCAGCGTAAGGATCTGAGCAACGCAGCCGTATTTGGGATTCTGCATCCGAGCTATGGCCTCGTACGATATTGCTATGGCAGCTTCGCCTCGGCAGTCCACCGGGAGGTGTAGCAACATCTTCGAGACGTTGCTGGCACCGAACACCTTGTGAACAGCCGCAAAGTTGCTAGCCGCCTGGTCATAACAGAAGTAAGGTGCAAACACGCACCCACTGGAGCACCTTCTTCTCAAGAACTTGCACGCCCCGCACGAAGAGCCAGGTCCTGTCATTTTCTCAAACCCTTTCTAGTTTCACTTGCGCTAAAGTACGTTTTTTGCACTTTTGCTTCTCTTGCTTATAATGAATATCAAACTCAAGATCCAAGCTTTATAATCATCTGGAAAAAGGGTCATATGTTGTTATATAGTCAGGCTGAATGGGACAGAGATGCTTTAATTAAAACGCAAATTCTTTTAGGTGTCTCCTTTATGGCCAACAGTTTCATTCACAAATTGGGCAAATGCAGTGCCTTAAAAGAGCCTTTCTTTGGTATATCAGAATAGAATGGAAGACCTAATCATCATCTTGGCGCATGCTGGGCTCTAAAGGTGATCAGATATAATTTGCCTATTAGTAGTTAATTTAATTGTTATTATTTGTTATAGTGCACTGCCCCTCCTTCCCCTCATGTGGCAATTATGACAAACATCATCATCTCAGTTCCAAAGACACAACCTCTTTGGGACTATTTTAGTGAATATATATAATTTAAGGTGAGACCGCGAGATCTAGATGGGTTAGATTTAACTATCTTTACATGTCGATCCAATTTTTCTTTTTCAACGCTAGAAATCGTGCGGCTGACCTAACATCCCTAGTAAGCTCTTGGAACTTTTTTTGATATAAAACACTCGATGAAGTTGAACAAGTCACATCCCGTGTAAGGGTAACATCTGAGCTAAGGTTTCTTGCTAATTTGGTCACTTGACGCACAAGAGGACTAGGGTTCTAGACACCCCGGTGGAGGGATTCGTGGGGTCTGCTTGAGGATGAAAGCACTAGCAGGGAAGCAGACCACCCTAGAATTAGTCACGGTGAGGTTAGTTTAAGTGGTCAACCATCTGACTTAAATGCAACACTTTATTAGTAGGGTGGGGGTTTGACTTCCACCAATATCTTGAAGCTACGGCTTTCCAGGTTAGAGTTTGGACCCTTGGGTAGTCCAAGTTGGCGGAAGTGTAGAGATGAATTCCTTGTGAGCAGAGTCAACGACAAGAAAATGTGGAGATGAGTCTCATGTGCGCAGAGTCAATGACAAGAATTGATTAGGAGGCTTCTTGGGTTTACTTCATCCAGTGACTCTTGGGCAGAGGTTCTAGGGACTTATGATTAGTCTAGCATTAGCTGTGAAACTTAATTCTATTTTGTAGGGTGCATGAGTGAGAGAACATGTTAATTCTCAATTATTATACATAGTTTAATCCTTAAACTTTTCAGGTATCAAGTACGGCTGTTGGCCACTAAATAATGGTTGGCGGCTGTTACTATGTCCCCTTCTCATCTGCAAACAGGTTCATGAACACATCCTTTGATATGAGTGAAAGAGAGGCTGTAAGTGCTTCTTCTACTGTATGAAATAGGAAAAAGTTGGGGGACAAAATGCCATTTTAACCAACTTTTGCCCCTAGTCAAAATATTTAAATCCATAAAATTAACATTGTTGGTCCTTCAAAAAAGAAAAAAAAAAAAAAAAAAAACACGAGAAGTCTATGACTTGAGTGGGGGTTTGATTCTTGTTACAAACATTGGGGGGTTTGTGTTTTTGTGTAGAAGCGTATAATTTGGTATTAAGTCTTGAAACTAGATTGGTTAGATTTACCTCTTCATGAGCTTGGGAGTGGGTTTATGAGGTTTAAGATATAGCTTGGTGTCGGGAAACTTGGGTTGACATTTTTTTATTTTTATTTTTAATCTACTTGATAAATTTTAATTTTGAATTTTTAAAGTATTCAAAATTTTCTCTTCATTACCATCATCCTGGATTAACTATTGCAAAAAAATCATCTTGAAATGCTCAAAGATGGGCTTACTTAGAGAAATGTAAATGGGTTTTTAGAGCTAAACTGGCAGGAGAGCAAACAATACATTCCACCTAGGTCCAAGGTGGTCTTGTTTTGGGCTGTATTTCTCATACACTTCAACTCAAAATTCAATCATGTTCTAGTGTTGGTTTAATAAATATATGTTGGTCTTGAACAACGCTTTGTTTGAATGGTTTATATTTTCCAACAATAAATTTTGCTACAATAAGATTGATCTAAAATCGTTCTGTCAAGACCTGAAATTAGACGACTATAATGTTTTTGGGCTGGACTACAACATCTGAACTGGATCGTGATAATGTATATGGGTTGGTTCAATTCAAGTCCATTATCCTATCTAAACTAGTCGACCTTTTAAAAACATTCCAACCAAAATGAGTTGGAACAAACAAATACCAGAAAAGTAAAACTCAGTTGGTTACATAGGTAAAGTTTGAGAACAATGACCCAGGATCGAGTTTCACCAGTGGTAGTTGAGTTATTATGATTTACATTCTCTCAAATGCTCTGTCGGGCCAAGGGTGAGGATTCTCAACCTTTTGGAAATACCAAGAAAAGTAAAACTCAACTTGAAATGACACATTTACAACCCCAACCAAACATTGGTACCTAATAAATGATTGTTTTAATGGTTTGGTTTGAGTTGCTTTAACGTCTAAGCTTTAAGCATTAATTGGGTGCCACAAAGTCAGGAAAACAAGTCAGTGTTGGGATGAATGTATGTTCATATTATTGTCCCAAGTCAACAAGATCACACAACCACCCAATACATTGTTTGACTTTGGTTTCTAGCATTCATTAATCTACTCACACATATAATGCATTAATGCCCGTCAATATAATGAAATGAATAGTGTGAAATCAGTGTTAAATAATCCTTTATGCGCTATAACTTAAATGCGGAAGCACAATTAACAATGATCGCATGTAAATCAAATCAATCAACTAAACAATGTTCAAGATCATGGACTTTTAATTAAATAGGAAAGATAGGACTTACTTGGTTCCATTGAAGATGTAATCTCTAAATTGAATGAATCAAGAATATAATGCTTCACCTCTCTGATCTGTATGCCTTATTCACCTCCTGATGATACGGAGACTAGAAAACTTAGAGATTTGAAACCGTTAAGATCCCTAGAGTTTTCCTGGGTATTTATAGATGTGATGAGAAATCTTCTTTCAAGAGGAATGGGGAACCTCCTTTAGGAATAGAAATCCCTTTAGGAATGTGACCTCCTTTAGGAATAGAAATCCCTTTAGGATTGTGAAACCCATAACCTTATCCATTATACATCTTTTAACCCTTATAAACTTAAATTTTAACAGAATGAGAGGGAGGGAATTTCACCCAGTAATTCCTCCTTTACACATTACTAATCATCAACGTGAGTACCTTATGGAATTACAACCTTTATTATATAAATCATTGTTAGGAAATAATTATTTCTAACAGTCTCCCACTGATTCATATGAGCATGACACCTTAATTATATGAATCAACGTTAGGAATAAATTATTTCCAACAATCTCCCACTTGATTCATATATGCGTGACTTTACAATTTTCAATCCTTAATTTGAGCTCACTTAATATGAAAATGTAAAAGTCACCACCTTATCGAACTTTATTAACCGAATCATGGCGGTTACAGGCCTGACATAGCGTCCCGCTCCCTTCCATGTATCACAGTTAATAAGAATTCGAACCATAATAATAAGGTAAAATCCGAAAGTACCTTATTCCTTATGTCTTAAACAAGACCATTGTTATCACTTCTGAATTATGCATAAATAAGTGATCAACATCTACCATAACAAAATCAAAACCTGAATAGATATCTAAGAGTATCATCAACCTGATGTGCTATCAAACATAAATCCATACATGTATGGCAGAGTTAACCGTTATACAAGGACTTTACCAGTATGCCCATCCTTCCAACATGGCCAATGAAGGTCGTGGGCGCCAATCCCTTAGTCAACGGATCCGTGATCATAAGATCGGTGCCAATATGCACTATTGATACTCTTTTGATTTTGTACCTTCTCCTTAACAGACAGAAATTTCAAATCCATGTGCTTGGCACCACTAGTATATCTGTCGTTCTTTGAGAAGAGCATAGCTGCCGTATTATCACAATGAATCCTCAATGGTTTGGCTATAGTGTCGACAATGCCCAAACCATAAATGAAATTACGCAGCCATGATGATTGAATTGTAGCCTCAAAGCATGCTACAAATTCTGCCTTTATAGTGGAAGTAGCAATGACAGGATCCTTCACACTCATCCAAGATATTGCTCCATGAGCAAGTGGAAAAATATATTCGAATGTGGATTTTCGGGTATTCAAACATCCGGCATAGTCTGAATCCGCATAACCTATAACCTCCAGGTTATTCGTTCCTTTTATAGGTGAGCATGTGATCCTTAGTGCCTTGTAAGTATCACAGGACCATCTTTTGCAGTTTTCCAGTTTATATCTTTCTAAAACTTTGTTAATGTGAGTCTTCTAGGATAAACCTAAAATCCCATGTGATCTATCACAGAATATTTCTTATTCCAATCACATATGAAGTCTCACCCATATCCTTCATTTCAAAGTTCTTAGAAGGATATTCCTTAACATCACGCAACATCCCTTTTATTATTAGCAGCAAGAAGAATGTCGTCAACATGTAATACTAGGATTACAAACTTGCTTCCATTAAACCTTTATGTAGATACTGATCAACAGTGATCAAAACCAAATGACAATTTCAAGTATCATTGTCTAGAAGCATGTTTTAATCCATAGATTGACATCTTCAATCGACATACCAGATTTTCCTTCCTGTGGCCATGAAGCCTTGCGGCTAATCCATGTATACTTCCTCTTTTAATTTACCATTCAGAAAGGCAATTTTAACAACCATTTGGTGGAGCTCAAGAACAGAATGAGCCACTAAAACCAAAATAATTCTCAAGGAGAATTATTATCCTGCATGGCTTGGTTAAATGAGACTGGATAATTATCAATGCTCAAGTCACTTTTATGCTCAAGTGCATAAACAATATAGTCATCAGGAATGACTGATCTTTTCTATCTAGTAGATCTCCTTAATGCCACTTCCTACTGAGATTTCACTTGATCATAATCTTGAGTTTCAACCTCATCTTCATTTATAATAGCTTCCTCATGTGGAATTTGAGCATCTAGTTGCTGTTGTTCCAAAGTATTTCCATAAGGCTACACTGCACTGTAGCAATAGGAACAACAACAGGAAAAAAGGATCACTTGATGAATCTGGAACCATCAATGACTCCTTAATTTCAACATTACGAGCTCCCACACTCCCACTGACTTCGCCATTTTAAATGAAGCGAGTGATGGGGTGAGGACCCCGGCCCAAGAGATAGGGGCCCAAAGAAAATAGATAGGAGAACTGGGCCAGTGTCGAGAGGAGCCCGAAGAGCAATTGGGCCGAGTCCGGGAGTCGGCCCAGGCCCAAGTACGGGGCCCAGTTCAGAGCTGCTAAGAGGAGTCCAGTAGGAGCTTAGGCCGAGACAAGGAGTCGACCGAGGCCCAAGCCCAGGAAAGGACTCGGCTCAGGGAGCCGTTGAGAGCATTGAAGAGATTCGTTTAAAAGGGAGCCGTTAAGACATTGAAAGCAGGACTCGGTCGGGCCGTTACAAGCCTGGGAGAGCCGTTGGTCGACCGAGTAATGGCGTCCAACGGCTCCGTATCTTAATTAGCCTTGAAGTCGGCCATTAAAGGCCTTCAAGTCGGTAGAGGAGGAGCCACTATATAAAGGCTCCTCCATTCTTGTAAAAGGATAGACAATTGAACACCCAAAGGGGGAGAATACCAAAAAGTTCCGAGTACTGGCATAATCTCCGAAATAGACATACATTTTACTGAAAGGTGCACCCACCAGCCAAAGGTTGTGTTGGACCTCCTTGGGCCCGAAAACCCTAAAACCATCACTGGCGCCGTCTGTGGGGATCGAAACTAAGAGTCACGTGTCCTCTTGAGTGTGGCGAGTCCGAGGAACGATAATTAGAATCCCAGTCGAATTAGAAAAGCTCCAGACATGGCAGGAAGTGAAGAACAATCGAGCCTTCATGACAATGGACGGGAAGCAGACCTGAGAAGCCAGCTGAATCGGAGAAATGCCCGGAGCCGGGAAAACGAGACAACACCGCCGCCGACACCACCGATAAACCAACAATTGCCCCAAGTGCTGCTCACCCCAGAGCAGCTGCGTGCAATCGGACGCGCCTGCGCCGAAGCAAGCCTAGGAGTGAGAGAACAGTCCATCACTCGCCAGCTGCAACGCGAGTTACAGCCGCTTCATAGGCCCGACAACCGGCAACAGAGCCGACGGGCCGAAAGCCAACCGGTACAGTCCGTTCATTCTCGGCTGGGTCCCAGCGTTGGGCGTCGGTCGGCAAGAGAACGATTGGGTCGGATGGAACCCAGTCATGCCCCGTTAGCCGCTCGCCATCGACAAGCTGCACGAGAGAAGAACCGTACCAAAAGAGCCAGGACTGAGACTCGTCGCGTGGAGCAACCTCCACGCAACCCCAACCAACCGGCTGAGTCTGAAATCGGTGAGAGCACGGAATCCACAG